GCAGCTGTGCAGTGAGCACAGAAACAGCAACTGAACATCGGAGTCTAGGGATAGACGAGGCTAACTTCAGACAGTGCAACTTATGGGAAAGATCATCTTCTTCCCACACCATCCCCTTTCCAATTCCCCATCCTGCTGAGAGCCAATTTTATCACCCAATAAAATCCTTCACATACATTACCCTTCAATCTATTCCTTTGACCTGATTCTACCTGGATGTTGGACAAGAACCCCGGGTGCCGAGTGGGTAGGAGCTTGGATGCTGCTGCGGGTCTGCACAGAGTCTGCTCCTGCCAGAGGAGCAACCAGCCAGTTCCAGCGTTTGTTCCCTTTGGTTCCTGCACTTGCTTGCTTGTACCCTCCCTCTTGTGAGGAGTGGCCAGCAGCCGGCTGAGTGAAACTAGCCACTCCAGTTCCATGAAGGAAGTCAAGGTCAAGGGAATTATCCTGTCTCATTACTGCTAGGGTTAGTCCCAGGAATAGGTACAGAGATAGTCACAAACAAGTTGAAGACCTTGAGGTCATCACTGCATGGGCGCATGGGTGAAGGAACATGAGGAGGAGTGGGATGATGGGAGAAGCTTACTAGCACTCATCACAAGAGGTTTTCCTTTTTTCCCCTGGGCACAAAGAAAGAAGCCCTAGAACCTCCCTTGAAGTTAAGCTGGGGCCATGTGATGAGCTCTAGCCCCTGAGCTGGGAGTGGAAGTGATGTGTGTCATTTCCAGCTTACGGCAGTTAAGAGCCTATGTGAGTTCATCCCCTGCTTCAGTGTCCCTGAAAGCTGGTGTTCCTTGTACAGTAGCTGTAAAGATGGAAGCAACCTGTATTCCTCCATTACCACTTGGAAATAAGCTTCCCTGAAAAGCTGTGGTCCCTATAGCAGATTTCACATGAGTTAGTTGAGTTAGGTTTTATTTATTTATTTATTGAAACAGAGTTTCCCTCTTGTTATCCAGGCTGGAGTGCAATGGTGCGATCTTGGCTCATCGCAACCTCCGCCTCCCGGGTTCAAGCAATTCTCCTGCCTCATCCTCCTGAATAGCTGGGATTACAGGCATGTGCCACCATGCCCAGCTACTTTTGTATTTTTAGTAGAGATGGGGTTTCTCCTTGTTGGTCAGGCTGGTCTCGCACTCCCGACTTCAGGTGATCCGCCTGCCTCAGCCTCCCAAAGTGCTGGGATTGCAGGTGTGAGCCACTGCACCCAGCCAGTTGAGTGAGGTTTTAATTTGATCACTGCTACAACACAGTAGAGCCTCTGCCAACTAATACAGGGAAGAATACAGAAAGAGATGTGTGGCAGTGCCTACAGCTGGACTTGCTCTCCTCCACACTTTCCAGAACCACAAAGAAAAGCCCTCCAGAGGCCGAGTGTGGTGGCTCACGCCTATAATCCCAGCACTTTGGGAGGCCAAGGCAGGCGGATCACCTGAGGTTAGGAGTTTGAGACTAGCCTAGCCAATATGGTCAAACCTCATCTCTACTAAAAATATAAAAATTAGCCAGATATGGTGGTGCACACCTATAATCCCAACTACTTGGAAGGCCAAGGCAGGAGAATTACTTGAACCCAGGTACTTCACATGTAATTTAAAAATTTTTAAGTTAGGAAGAAAGTCTTTGGGTAAATTTGTAAAGAAGGCCTCCTAATGATGAATTTGAAAATTCCTCCAGGCCGGGCGCGGTGGCTCACGCCTATAATCCCAGCACTTTGGGAGGCCGAGGCGGGTGGATCACGAGGTCAAGAGATCGAGACCATCCTGGTCAACATGGTGAAACCCCGTCTCTACTAAAAATACAAAAAATTGGCTGGGCCTGGTGGCGCGTGCCTGTAATCCCAGCTACTCAGGAGGCTGAGGCAGGAGAATTGCCTGAACCCAGGAGGCGGAAGTTGTGGTAAACCGAGATTGCGCCATTGCTCTCCAGCCTGGGTAACAAGAGCAAAACTCCGTCTCAAAAAAAAGAAAAAAAAAAAAAAAAAAAGACATTGATGAGAACAGTGAGAAAGAAAAGAAAGAGCTCCAATAAATGAGTTTAAGAAAAAAATTATGGAATTCAATAAGCAACTGGAGTGGAGAAGCACAGAAAACAGAGGCATCAAAAAATAACGTCAGCTGGGTGTGGTGGCTTACGCCTTATAATCCCAGCACTTTGGAAAGCGGAGGTGGGCAGATCATGAGGTCAGGAGATCTAGACCAGCCTGGCTAATACAGTGAAACCCTGTCTCTACTAAAAATACAAAAAAACCTAGCCAGGCACTCCAGCCAGGGCGAACAGTGAGACTCCAACTCAAAAAATAATAATAATAACATTAGCTGGGCATGGTGACTAACACCTGTAAACCCAGCATTTGGGGAGGCTGAGGCAGGAGGATCACTTGAGCCCAGGAGTTAAGGCTGCAGTGAGGTATGATTATGTCACTGTACTCAGGCATGGGTGACAAAGGGAGACTCTGTCTCAAAAAAAACAAAAACAAAATTTCAATGTTTTAAACTCTTGAGCCAAAGAGAATATAGGTACCATTGGAAAAAATACATAATGAGAGACATCTAATTGGGGGGAAGATGAGAGGAAGGATGAAGTGACATTGCATTTGAAGAGACAGCTGGAAATCCATGTAAAATATGTAGCATCTGGTGGAAGAGATAAAGGACTGGAATTAAATGATTAGGACAGCAAGTACACATTTGAAAAATTATCTGAATAAAAGTAATAGAGCAGTAAAAACTGATAAACCTTCATTTAAAAAAAAGTTTTGTCATGAGGGCAAACCAAGGTTTGAGACTTTAGCAGCATCCAGAGTTAAGGTATGCAAGAGGGAAGAAAAGCTAATGAGGGAAAGATGTCCTGAGAGGTCAGAGGAAATCACGGTAGTGCCTGCCACGAACAAGCTGTGTCCTGTGTTCTGAGATCAAGAAGAGCGAGCAGGCCATTATGTAGACTACTTATTTTTTTTTTTTGAGGCGGAGTCTTGCTCTGTCACCCAGACTGGAGTGCAGTGGTGCAATCTTGGCTCACTGCAACCTCTGCCTCCCAGGCTCGAGTGATACTCCTGCCTTGGCCTCCCCAGTAGTTGGGATTACAGGCACCCATGATCATGCCTAGATAATGTTTGTAGTTTTTAGTAGAGACAGGATTTCTCCACGTTGGTCAGGCTGGTCTCAAACTCCTGACCTCAAGAGATTTGCCTGCCTTGGCCTCCCAAAGTGCTGGGATTACAGGTGTTAGCCACTGCACCTGGCCCTGCGTAGACTACTTTTAGTGAAGTGATGTTGTACAGCCATTTGAGGAAGGCCTCAAACTTCTGTGTAAAAATAAAAAATGAGACAAGGTCATTTGCTGACAGTGAATGGACGAAGATGGAATTAAATGCTGTCTAGATGGTGAACCCGACAGAAAAGACATAGAACACTTGAATTTGAACAGATTTTGTATAGAACCATAAGCAAGGATTGGGAAGAATATAATAGATGGTGAATTACCCCAGAACGAGTTATAGTAGCTAACTGGTACCATCCCTAAGCCCGAAGAAGCAAGAGGAGGGAACTGTCTCCAGGATTCGGGGAAAGCTTTGAAGAGGATGGGATCTGTGGCCTTTAGGTAAAGGAACATAGCCAATTTGCAGGAAGCGGACAGGGAGGGAGCTACAGAAATAAATAATCTGACCTCACTCTCCTCTCGCCCTAAAGCCAATAACTGAACCCATCTGGAAGCTAGAGGGCAAGGGAGCCAGGTTGTAGCAATCTGTATGATCAGAAACCTAGGGTACAGAGCAGACAGGGACGGGGAATGAATCCAGCGCAAATGCTTAAGAAGAGTAGAAAAGGTTTGGCGATACCACTGTGAGAAAAGGGGTGGGGAGCCAAGAGATTAAAAAGAATGTTGAGCTTCATTAGATCTGGTTGGTGCTAATCAGTACTTTAAAGATTATGGGTGTGTTGCCTCACACCAGTAATCCCAGCATTCTGAGGAGGCCAAGGCAGGAGACTTGCTTGAGCCCAGGAGTTTGAGACCAGCCTTGGCAACATAGTTAGACCTACAAAAAATTTAAAAATTTAATTTTACAAAATTAATTTTTTAATTACAAAAAATTTTTTTAAACAAATTTTTTAGTTCCAGCTACACAGGAGGCAGAGGTGGGAGGATCACTTAAGCCTGGGAGGTCGAGGCATCCGTGAGCTGGGATCACCCCACTCCTCTACAGCATGTAACAGAGTTGGCCTATCTCAAATACATACATACATACATACATACATACATACATACATACATACATACATAAAAATAAAGGTACTTTTTTGTTTTTTTCCAAGACCAAGTCTTGCTCTATCGCCCAGGCTGGAGTGCAGTGGCATGATCTTGAATCACTGCAACCTCCACCTCCCGGGTTCAAGCAATTCTCCCGCCTCGGCCTCCTGAGTAGCTGGGATTACAGGCACCTGCCACCAAGTCCAGCTAATTTTTGTATTTTTAGTTGAGATGGGTTTCACCATGTTGGCCAGGCCGGTCTTGAACTTCTGACCTCATGATCTGCCCGCCTTGGCCTCCCAAAGTGCTGGGATTACAGGCATGAGCCACCACGCCCAACCTAAAGGTATTTATTTCTATCTGATTACAAGAATGATATATGGGTACTGTAGAAAATTCCAGAAGTATTATAACCAAAGAAAATTTATTTACTTTTTAAAAGCAGTTTTATTCAAATTAATACACAAACAAAAAAAAAACAAATACTGCATGTTCTCACTTATAAGTGGGAGCTAGGCCAGGTGTGGTGACGCACACCTGAAATCCAGCACTTTGGGAGGCCGAGGCGGGTGGATCAAGAGGTCAAGAGATTGAGACCATCCTGGCCAACATGGTGAAATCCCATCTCTACTTTTAAAAAATTACAAAAATTACCTGTAATCACAGCACTTTGGGAGGCCGAGGCAGGTGGATCATGAGGTCAAGAGATCAAGACCATCCTGGTCAACATGATGAAACCCCGTCTCTACTAAAAATACAAAAAATTAGCTGGGCATGGTGGTGTGTGCCTGTAATCCCAGCTACTCGGGAGGCTGAGGCAGGAGAATTGCCTGAACCCAGGAGGCGGAAGTTGCGGTGAGCCGAGATCACGCCATTGCACTCCAGCCTGGGTAACAAGAGCAAAACTCCGTCTCAAAAAAAAATTACAAAAATTAGCTGGGTGTGGTGGCATGTGCCTATAGTCCGAGCTACTAGGGAGGTTGAGACAGGAGAATTGCTTGAACCCAGGATGTAGAGGTTGTAGTAAGCCAAGATCACGCCACTGCACTCCAGCCTGGCGACAGAGCAAGACTCCATTAAAAAAAAGGAAGAAGTGGGAGCTAAACATTGAGCACACATGGACGTACACGTGGAACCAACAGGGACTGTGGACTACTGGAGGGTGGAGGAAGCAGGAGTGAGTTTAAAACTACCTATTGGAAGCCAGGTGCGGTGGCTCATGTCTGTAATCCTAGCGCTTTGGGAGGCTGAGATAGGTGGATTGCTTGAACCCAGGAGTTTGAGACCACCCAATGTAGCCAACACAGTGAAACCCCATATCTACTAAAAATAAAAAAACTAGCTGGGCATAGTGGCGTGTACCTGTAAACCCAGCTACTTGAAAGGCTGAGGCACAAGAATCACTTGAACCTGGGAGGCAGAGGTTGCAGTGAGCCGAGATCACACCACTGCACTCCAGCCTGGGCGATAGAGCAAGACTCCGTCTCAAAAAAAAAAAAAAATTAAAAAACACAAAACTACCCATTGGATACTATGCTCACTACCAGGGTGACTGGAGTCATACTCCGAACCTCAGCATCATGCAATGTTTCCATGTAACAAATCTGCACATGACCTCCCTGTATCAAAATAAAAGTTGAAAAAATAAATTAAAAAACAGATAATTGTATATCATCTTTATTGAGATACAATTCACATATCATACAATTCACCCATTTAAAGTGTATAATCCAATGGTTTTTAATATTTCACTGAGTTGGACAACCATCACCACAATCCATTTTAGAGCATTTTCTTCAGCCAAGAAAGAAACTCCATAACCACTAGCAGTTATTTTCAATTTCTCTCCTTCCCAACCCTTGGTCCAGACAATCACTTATCTACTGTTTGTCACTATGTATTTAACTATTCTATTTGCATATTCTAGACTGTTTTTTTTTTTTTTGACAGGATCTCGCTCTGTTGACGAGGCTGGAGTGCACTGGTGCAATCTCCACTCACTACAACCTCCACCTCTCAGGTTCAAGTGCTCCTCCCACCTCAGCCTCCCGAGTAGCTGGGATTCCAGGCATGCGCCACCACACCTGACTAATTTTTATATTTTTCGTAGAGATGGGGTTCTGCCATGTTGGGCAGGCTGGTCTCAAATTCCTGGACTCAAGCAATTAGCATGCCTCTCACGGTGCTGGGATTACAGGTGTGAGCCACCATGCTTGGTCTCAACTTTCTAACTGTAATGGTACCCATCCCCTCCCTCCTCTTAACCACTCAAGCCTCTGGTAACCATCATTTGACTCTGTTCTTCTATAAAATTAGCTCTTTTAGGCCGGGCACAGTGGCTCATGCCTGTAATCCCAGCACTTTGGGAGGCTGAGGTGGGCAGATCACAAGGTCAGGAGTTCAAGACCAACCTGACTAACATGGTAAAACCTCGTCTCTACTAAAAACACAAAAATTAGCTGGCTGTGGTGGTGTACAGCTGTAGTCCCAGCTACTCTGGAGGCTGAGGCAGGAGAATTGCTTGAACCCAGGAGGCAGAGGTTGCAATGAGTCAAGATTGTGGCACTGCACTCCAGCCTGGGTGACAGAGCAAGACTCCATCTCAAAAAAAAAGTTAGCTCTTTTAGATTGCACATATGAGTGAGGTGATGCATATGTATATTTCTGTGCCTGCCTTATTTCACTTCACATGTTTTCCAGGCTCATCCATGCTGCCACAAATGACAGAACTTTACTCTTCTGTATAACTAACTAATATTCCATTGTGTACATATACCATATTTTCTTTATCCATTCATCCATTGATGGACAACTAGGTTGATTCCATGCCTTGGCTATTGTGAATAATGCTGAAATAAACATGGGGATGCAGATATCTCTTCTATATAATTATTTCCTTTCCTTTGAGTAGATTCCCAGCAGTGGGGTTCCTGGATCACAGTGTAGTTCTACTTGTACTGTTTCAAAGAACCTCCATACTGTACTCCATAGCAGTTGTCTCCTGGTTTACATTCCCACCAACAGTGCGTAAGTATTCTCTTTTCTCTATATTCTGGCCAACATTTCTTTTTAAATTCAGGGGTGCATGTGCAGACACGTGCAGGTTTCTTACATGGGTACATTGTATGTTGCTGAGGTTTGGGTGCCTAATAATCCTGTTGCCCAAGTAGTGAACATAATACCTGACAGGTAGTTTTTCAGCCTGTCTTCCCTTCCCTTCCTCCCCATTTGTGGAATCCCCAGCGTTTACTGTTCCCATCTTTTTGTCTGTATGGACTTAATGTTTAGCTCCCACTTATAAGTGAGAACATGCAGTATTTGTTTTTCTGTTTCTGCATTAATGCACTTAGGATAATAGCCTCCAGCTGCATCCATGTTGCTGCAAACAACATGATTTCATTCTTTTGTATGGTTTTGCCAACATTTTTCTTTTGTCTTTTTGATAACAGCCATGCTAACTAGTGTCAGTTGATATCCCATTGTGGTTTTGATTTGCATTTCCCTGATGATTACTGATGCTGAGCATTTTTCATATACTTACTGGCAACTTGTATGTCTTCTATGTCTTTTGCCCATTTTTTAATAGGGTTGCTTTTTTTTTTGCTTTTGAGTTCCTTGTATATTTTGGATATTAACCCTTTATCAGATATACAGTTTACAAATATTTTCTTCCATTCTGTAAGTTATCTCTTCACTCTGTTGTTTCATTTGTACAGAAGCTTTTTGTTCCATGTAATTCTATCCATCTATTTTTGCTGTTGTTGCCTTTGTTTTGTGATAACATCCAAAATGTTCTTGCACAGACCAAATCATGGAGTTTCCTCTCATGTTTTCTTCTAGTAGATTCATTGTTTCAGATCTTGCAAATAAGTTATTAATACATGTTGAGTTGACTTTTGTATATAATAGGAGATAAGGGTCTAATTCCATTCTTCTCTGTGTGAATATCCAGTTTTCCCAACACAATTTTTTTTTAAGAGACTGTCCTTTCCATTGTGTACTCTTGGTGCCTTTGTTGAAAATCAGTAGGTTATAACTGCATGGATTTACTTCTGGGGTCTATTTTGTTCCATTGGTCTATATGTCTGTTTTTAGGCTGTTTTGGTTACTATAACTTTGCAGCTTATTTTGAAATCACGAAGTCTGGTGCCTACAGCTTTACTCTTCTTGCTCAAAACTGCTTTGGCTATTTGGTGTCTTTTGTAGTTCTATACAAATTTTAGGATTGTATTTTCTATTTCTGCAAAGAATGTCATTGGTATTTTAATAGGAATTGCATGGAATCTATAGTTTGTTTTGGGTAGTAAGGACATTTTAATAATCTTAATTTTTGCAATCTATGAACACAGGGTATTGTTCCATTTATTTGTCTTCAGTTCTTCAGTTTCTTTGATCAGTGCTGTATAGTTTTTGGTGTAGAGATCTTTCACCTTCTTGGTCAAATTTATTTATTCTTAAGTGTTACATTTTTTTGTAGCTATTTTGTATGGGATTACTTTCTTGTTTTTCAGACAGTTTGCTATTGGTGTACAGAAGTGCTACCAACTTTTCTTTGTTGATTTTGTATCCTGCAATTTTACTGAATTTGTTTATTTAACAGTTTTTTGGTGGAGTTTTCAGGTTTTTTTCAATATAAAATCATTTAATCTGCAAAGAGAAACAATTTAACTTCTCTGACAAAGAAAATTCAAATCACCAGTAACACCACTCTCCAGTGATAATGACTTCTAATGTTTTTTGTTTTTAATATACTTCCAGCCTTTTTTGTTGCCATTTGTTTGTTTGTTTTTTGAGACAGAGTGTCACTCTGTTGCCCAGGCTGGAGTGCAATGGCACAATCTTGGCTCACTGCAACCTCTGCCTTCCAGGTTCAAACAATTCTCCTGCCTCAGCCTCCCAAGTAGCTGGAATTACAGGTGTGTGCCACCACATCTGGCTAATTTTTCATATTTTTAGTAGAGACGGGGTTTCACCACGTTGGCCAGCCTGGTTTTGAACTCCTGATCTCAGGTAATCCACCAGCCTTGGCCTCCCAAAGTGCAGGGATTCCAGCCTTTTTTACAAGCACAAATAATTTTTTGAAACAAAATGGATTATGTTGCACATACTTGAATTGTTTATGATTCTTCGAATACAAGCAACTTCAATCGGATTAACTTTTAAGTATTAATTAATTAATTCAATACTTATGAATGCCTACAATGTACAAATAATTTCATAGCATTAAAAAAAAAAACAGGTAAGCTGGCCGGGCTCAGTGGCTCATGCTTGTATTTTCAGCACTTTGGTAGGCTGAGGTGGAGGATCACTTCTTGAGCTCAGGAGTTTGAGACCTGTCTGGGAAACATGGTGAAACTACATCTCTACTAAAAATGCAAAAAAAGAAAAAAAGAAAAAAAAAAAGATACTGTTCTCAAGATATGGGGATATGAGGTCACTCCCAAGTCTAGGTCTGTTTAGTAAACATTATCAACTGTTTCCTTAACTGTAAACATCTAGAGGCTATGAATACCTAACTTTCTGGGTATGCAGCCCAGCAAGTCCCAGCCTCATTTTCCTAGCCCTTACTCAAGAGAGGGTCGCTCTAGTCTGAATGCCTGACAGCGGTGTGCACCTGCAGTCCCATCTACTCAGGAGGCTGAGGTGGGAGGATAGACTGAACCTGGGAGGTTCAGGCTGCAGTGAGCTACGATTGTACCACTTCATTCCATCCTGGGTGACACAGCAAGACATTGCCTTAAAAAAATAAAAAGGAACTCATATTTGGAAATTTTTGTTTGATAGCCTGGAATTTAACTTTACAGTAGTATGGTAAACTGCACAAATGAACGCAACCCCACAGTATAGCACAGGTTTATTATGGTTTAAATAGACCATCTGTATGTGCTCAAGTTTGCAACTAAAATTAATAAGGTCGTGTTACAGCTTTAAAATCCATGCAGGAACGTTTTCAGGAAGCAAAGTGCTATGGTATTATCTACTGGCAGGTTCTGAGGCAGGCCTAAAGCAGGGCTGCATTTACTTGGCACGATATGCCTTCCATGTCCCAGGGATTCTCTTGGGACATACTGACTTACCTGGAGAGGTGAACAAACTCACTGGAGAATGCAGCCTACACCCCAGACGTGCATTTACCTTTACACACAACAGCAGGACAGAGAAGCTGTGTTTAGCATAGGGCCAGGCAAGCCGTTGACAGCAGGTTAAGGAGAACTCTGCAAATAGACCACAGAGTCTCAGGACTGGGTCTACTCACTAGCTTCCTAACATTCTGGCAGAGAGTGGCATTCTTTATAAGGTAAGAAAGAAATTTTCCCTGATTTGGATCTAGAGTTTTATGCCTAAAATAAATATGATTCATGTCCTGGGAAAGCTTGGTTCTGATGAACTCTGTGTCCTTGGCTGACTTATACCTCCCTCGCCCCCTTAAAATCCGACTTCTGATTCAGGGGTGAAAACTCTACCCTTTATTTTCAAGGTCCAGGAAGACCTGGACCCTCAGAAAGTCACTTAGGAGGAACCAGTCTTTGGGACAGAATTATGCAGCTTATGTCCCAAGTTTGTTTGAGCCCCAATGATCAGAAAAGCATGATAATTCTATGGTTTTCCCCTTTTTACTCTACCACTGGAAGTCCCCTAAATTTACTTAACAGTATTTCCCTGAAGCTATAAAGCCAAGCTATTTTGTTCCCCCTAAGTCAGGAATGTTTTAATATGTAAATATGAATTCCACAGAGATTTTGCTTGACTAGTATACTTTAAGCTGTCGAATTCGTTCAATGAATTAGGTAAACTCCATTAACTGATTTCTTTTTTTTTAACTAAAAAAATTGTTTATTTGAAACAAAAATTTCCCCAGGCATTGCATATTTAATCTGGACCCCCTACTTTGACAATTTTACTTTAGAACAAAACTGCGGGTAACAGCAGGTCAATCAGAAGCCTCAGTCTTTTTTGTTATAAAATACTGAAAACTAGTAAGATGTTTGTTTATTGAAAGAACAGCAACACAAACTGAAACAAACCTATACAAAAACAATAGACATCATGAAACAGAAAACAAAAGTCAGTGGGGAGAATCAATATTGACTCAGACTCCTGGCAGTTTCTATCTAGGGCACTCCCTCTGAGTGCCAGGCGCCCTTCATGCGCCATATGTCATCTAATAACATCAGTGAAAAATCATCATTCACATTCTCTTGGTGCAGAATACATAGACCTGATTATGGAACCCCTGGGAAGTAGTTTCTGGATGTGTTTTCTGGTGGCGTTTTAACGTTTCAGGTCGACCAAAGGCTCTTGGACACTTGGAACATTTATAGGGTTTCTCTCCAGAGTGGATGCGCTTGTGCTGGTTCAGGTTCTTCCTGTAGGTGAAAACTTTATTGCAGTCTTTACATTCATAGGGCTTCTCCCCTGTGTGGCTCCTCTTGTGACATTTCAAGGAGAACATCCTGGTGAACCGCTTGTAGCAGACGTCACACATGTAGGGCTTCTCACCAGTGTGGATTCGCTGGTGAACTCGGAGGTCTGAGAGCTGCATGAAGTGCTTCCCACAGAGATTACACTGAAAGCGTCTCTCTCCTGTGTGTGATCTCTTGTGGATGACTAGCTTGCCGTAATACTTAAACCTTTTACTGCACACATCACATGCAAGGGGTGGGAGTGCCATGGCTTCTTGGCCAACAGGCTGACTGACTGCACCTGCAGGGCCTCGGGAACGAACTGGATTTATCCTAGCTTGTCCCAGGCTGTCTGTGTTGCCCACAAGTGAGGCTCCTCCTTGAGGCCCTTCTTGGGAAATGAAGGAAGCATCTGGTTTGCTTCTTTTGGGACCTCTCAGATTCAGAGAGTCTCCTCTGCTCTCACTGTGAGTTGAAGCTTCTCTCTCCACAATGCAGGCAGCAGGTATGTCAGCATCCATATTTTCCACAGAGGCTTTTTTTGGTTCCTTCCCCTCCTTTGCTCTCACCACACCTGTGGGACCCTTCGGAAGCTGAGGCTCTGAAGATGTAAGTCCTGTGTTCTCTTCCCTGTCTACATTCAGATCCTTCTCCAAGGTCAGCGTGGGTCTCAGAGCCTTTGGGTCACCTTTTATGACAATAGTCTCTGGCAGCAGGAAGTCCTCTTCCTGCCCCCTGGACAGTGCAGGGATCCTGGGAAAGGTCTGTAGCTCTTGGCTGGCCTGGCCTTCACCTGGAGACATCTCATTCACAGAGGAGGCCGGCTGGCTGGACACGTCTCTCAGATCATCCCTAACACTGGCGGGGGCTTTGGGCATCTCAACATCTGAGTCCTGCGTAAGATACTCCTTGCCAAGGAAGTTGACCACAGACCATTTCTTGGGTTTTCTGTTATTTCGTAGCAGGTCCTCCAGGTCTTTGCAGCTCTGTACACTGTTCATCATGACTAAGACCTGGAGCTCCTGGGGCATGGAGATCATGAACTGCTCCATCACCAGCATGTCCAGGATCTGCTCTTTGGTGTGGAGGTCAGGCCTCAGCCACAGATGGCACAGCTCAGTGAGTCTCCTCAAAGCCTGGATGGGGTCCAACTCTTCCGGGCAGCTGAACATCCTGAAGTTCACATGACACGTCTCAGGGTCTTGGTCTTGATTTCCAAGTTGAGTTTCCTCAGATGCAACAGACCGTGGCAGCTCTGACCCAGGGCTGTTGCAGGGTTCTCGCTGACCCCATGAGGGTGTGCAATTTGCAGCCATATCTAGTGGAGGATATTTTAATCAGTCTCTGAGGAAGCTCTTCCAGTAGCTGGTGTCTAATTGGGACCTATCTACACAGGTCTCCTTTGGTTTTCCTCAGTAATAGAGTCACTGCTTGTTCAGAAGTCTCCTTCCTGCTTTCTGCCTCCAACCTCCCTGCATCTGGGATGAGTGCTCCTGATTTCTTTTTCTATTGCAAATTAATATGAGGGTCATCTCTTCAGATATGTGTGTTTTAGGCTGGGCACGGTAGCTCACACCTGTAACCCCAGCACTTTGGGAGGCCGAGGCAGGTGGATCATCTGAGGTCAGGAGTTCAAGACCGGCCTGGTTAAAAGAGTGAAACCCTGTCTCTACTAAAAAACACAAAATTTAGCCATGCGTGGTGGCAGGCACCTGTAATCCCAGCTACTTGGGAGGCTGACGCAGGAGAATCTCTTGAACCTGGGAGGCAGAGGTTGCAGTGAGCCGAGATCATGCCACTGCACTCCAGGCTGGGCGACAGAGCAAGGCTGTCTCAAGAAAAAAAAAAAAGATATGTGTGTTTTAAACTTTATGCATACTATCAATCAGTTATGTGATAAAACCATTAAATTGCTCAGAAAAAGCATTCTTAACTCATAAGATTAACCAAGTTTCTTTAAACAAGGCCAGTTTTTTTAACAGATCTGTCAAAATCTGTTTGAATAAAAAAATTAAAAATCACTAAAAATAAACAACAGGAGATTCAATTCACAGCAACCAATTAGAAGAGGCCCAGTTTACCTGAGCCAGCATAAGGAAGTCCCCTCTGTTTTAACCCTGTAAGAAAAGTATCTTTGTAACAAACAATTCATTTTTGTTCCTTGTTTCTGCTTTCTTTAGCCTTCTTCTACCTATAAAGCCTACCTCCTGTGCTCAGCTAATCAGAGCACCTTTCTAATTTTAGAAGGGAGGCTGTTCTATTCACCAATCGCTAAATAAAAGCTAATTATGGGAGGCCAAGGCAGGTGGCTCACTAGTTCAAGTGATTGAGACCATTCTGGTCAACATGGTGAAACCCTGTCTCTATTAAAAATACAAAAAATTAGCTGGGCATGGTGGCGCATGCCTGTAATCCCAGCTACTCAGGAGGCTGAGGCAGGAGAATTGCCTGAACTCAGGAGGCGGAGGTTGCAGTGAGCTGAGATCGCGCCATTGCACTCCAGCCTGGGTAACAAGAGTGAAACTCCGTCTCAAAAAAAAAAGCTAATTAGATTTAAATGAATGTCAAAAATTTTTGACATACGTATATGCATGATACAAGTATCACAAGCACTTCATAAAACAGATACAGTATACGTAATGGAATATAGTAATTGAGGCCGGGTGCTATATCTCATGCCTGTAATCCCAGCACTTTGGGAAGCTGGGGCAGGTGGATCAGCCAGGGTCAGGGGTTCAAGACCAGCCTGGCCAACATGGCGAAACCCTGTCTCTACTAAAAATACAAAAATTAGCTGGGCATGGTGGTGGGTGCCTATAATCCCAGCTATTTGGGAGGCTGAGGCAAGAGAATTGCTTGAACCTGGGAGGCAAAGGTTGCAGTGAGCCAAGGTCGCACCATTGCACTACAGCCTGGGCAACATGAGCGAAACTCCATCTCAACAACAACAAAAAATATATATATAGAAATTGCAGTCTTTGGAGTAATTTTCTGAACAGTAATCTCATTATCCTTTTTTCTTAAGTTGCATTTAGTATTCATCTGTTTATTTCTTATGATATGGAAAAATGACATCCATAGGGCATTTTTTTCTTCCAAATAATGAAAATATCCTGTGAAATATTAGGAAATTTGTAACTATCTTTTGAGGTTTCTGATTTTCTTTCTGCTTAGTGGCTTATTTCTAGTTATAAAACAGCTACATAAAAATATAACTCTGACAAATTCCACTATTTACATAAACACTTATAAACTCTGTATATACAATTTATATTTCTTCTTTCATACAGTGCTAATTGGAATTCCAAGCAAATATACCCCCCCAAAAAAAGAATATATTGTTAAAATCTTATTTACTACAGTGATTACTTAGTTTATATCAATATGTGGTATTCAGACTTCCTGGGGCTGTGTGCTAACATGCAGATTCCAGGACTTCACCTCACAAATTCTGTTGCAGTACGTCTGGGGTACAACCAGGAATCCATATTTTAATAACATTGACATGTTATTTTTATGCCCAATGAAATTAAAAAGCCATATATTTAAGAGACATTTGTTGTATTTTTCTCATGAATCAATTTTGTACCTAATTTTGCCTCAAATATTTAAAATTTTTTCTTTAAAAAAATCTCCCAAGCTGTGTAAGTTTCAAGTACCACAAAAACCTCAATCTACTCCTGCTACAGGTGAGCTTGTAATTCATATTTTTATATTTCTAAATGATACCCACAGATCATGTAATTCAAAGAAACATGATGGAAACCTTGGAAAATTTCAAAAGGGGGATGTGAAGAGGCTACATCTAAAATAATGAGGTCTAAATGCAGCATGTTTCCAGAAGTTGCTCCCTGTGCAGAAGGGTCCACAGCCACCAATTCTCAAGCATGAGTGCATGGAAGAGGTGACAAGTTATATGGTCATGAGAACAGCTGACCTGTAGTGCCCTTTGGAGAACCACTCCTAGTACAAATTAAGGTATTTGATTAGATGGTATTTTGTAACTGACTAGAAGTTTAACTCTCATGCTATTCCAGGACTCACTGCACTCATCCCAAATTTGGACTGAGGTTAAAAATTAGAAATAAAAAAAAAAAGGCTGGGTACGGTGGCTCAGCCTGTGATCCCAGCACTTTGGGAGGCTGAGGCAGGTGGATCACTTGAATCAGGAGTTTGAGACCAACCTGGGCAACATGACAAAAACTGGCTCTACTAAAAATACAAAAATTAGCCAGGCATGGTTGTGCAAACCTGTAGTCCCAGCTACTCAGGAGAACTGCTTGAACCTGGGAGGCAAAGGTTGAAGTAATTCAAGATTATGCCACTGCAGTCTAGCCTGGGCCATGGAGCAAGACTGTTAAAAAGAAAAAAAAAGGGCCAGGTGCAGTGGCTCACACCTGTAATCCCAGCACTTTGGGAGGTCAAGGCACGTGGATTACTTGGGCCCACTAGTTCAATACCAGCCTGGCCAACATGGTGAAATCCTGTCTACTAAAACCATAAAAATTAGCCAGATATGGTGGGTGTGCCTGTAGTCCCAGCTACTCAGGAGGCTGAGGCAGGAGAATCGCTGGAATCCAGGAGGCAGAGGTTTCAGTGAGCCGAGATGGCACAACTGCACATCAGCCTGGGCGACAGAGCAAGGCTCTGTCAGAAAGAAAGAAAGAGAGAAAGAAAGGAAAGAAAAAAAAGAAAGAGAGAAATATTACATATGCACTAGATACATCAACCATCTTCTTCCCACCCATGACCTATTCAAAGAGAATCTGTCCTCTACCTGCAATCACAGTGGTCATACTTATCTCAGGTGAACCATAGACAACGGATTCAGGGTGAGCCGATTCTATGCTCTCCTTTGAGAAACTGTTCCTATTGTGCAGAGAAGTTCTGATGTGTGGGTACATTGGGACACACATGACACCATGGCAAATCAAAGCCTTGGGTCAGAGTTAGGGGAGAGCAAACCTCGAGAACCTTGCAAAGATCAGAAAGAATGAGACACATGACAGTTTTCACAAAAAGCATTTTAAAAAACAAGAATGAGATAGAGAAGGAACAAATGGACATACCTAGGGAAGCAGAGATGAGAGATCATCTGATCCTAAAAAGGCTATTTGTTGGATGACTACTTCCTATGCAATAGGATTCTATATTCCATCACATATGCCTCTGAATCGCTTGAATAAATACCCTTCCTGGCTGGGCGCAGTGGCTCATGACTGTAATCCCAACACTTTGTGAGGCCGAGGTGGGTGGATCACCTGAGGTTGGGAGTTTGAGATCAGCTTGACCAACATGAAGAAACCCTGTCTCTACTAAAAATACAAAATTAGCTGGGTGTGGTAGAGCATGCTTGTAATCCCAGCTACTCAGGAGGCTGAGGTAGGAGAATCACTTGAACCCAGGAGGCAGATGTTGTGGTGAGCCGAGATCAGGCCGCTGCACTCCAGCCTGGGCAATAAGAGAGAAACTCCATCTCAAGAAATAAATAAATAAATAAATGCCCTTTCTGTCTACACCCAGAGAGCTGTGCTGAGGAAGTTTTGGTCCTTATCAGCAGAGATCTCTAGTTAAGACAATGGTGCACTTATCAGCCACAGGTTTCAGAGTAGTTAAGGAAGGAAGTACACATCCTGTGGAATATGAGGCTGCCTGTGGAATGCAAGTAAGTAGAGCACTGAAGCTCAGACTGGGGCATCACAGAAACAGGCTGCTGAGGACAAGGCATGCAGCTAGGGTAATGAGGTCCCTAAACAAGAAGACTCCCTGTCTACAAAGAGTAAAGTGAAGGGCACTCAAAAGTATTGAGATTTTTAGCTACTAAGAAAGGGGTACATTCAGCTTCCTAGTCTTACTAGCATTAGTTATATATTTAATATATTATAGTGTAAATGTACATTCAAGATAAGGTGATGAAAAAGTCAAAATCTGGCTATTTGTGACAGTCAAAGCACAGGTTGCAATTTTGGCGGGACAAATGGCATAGGGATTACAGCATAGAGAGAGATTAGATCAAAACTCTTATTTTTCTTACTGCCTCCATCTACCTACTCTGAATACTCTGCAAGAATTGAATAGTCAAAGCACCAACTGCTAGTTATTGCCTTTTTTTTTTTTTTTGAGACAGAGTTTTGCTCTTGTTGCCCAGGCTGGAGTGCAATGGTGCAATCTTGGCTCAATGCAACCCCTGACTCCTGGGTTCAAGTGATTCTCCTGCCTCAGCTTCCCAAGTAGCTGGGATTACAGGTATGCGCCACCACGCCTGGCTAATTTTGTATTTTTAGTGGAGATGGGGTTTCTCCATGTTGGTCAGTCTGGTCTCAAACTCCCAACCTCAGGTGATCTGCCCACTTCGGCCTCCCAAAGTGTTGGGATTACAGGCGTGAGCCACTGCACCCAGCCAGTTATTGCCTTTTAAAAATTATTATTATTGTTTTTGAGACAAGGTCTCATTTTGTCACTCAGGCTGGAGTGCAGTGGGCACAATCTTGGCTCATGCAGCCTCAACCTCCTAGGTTCTAGCAATCCTCCCACCTCAGCCTCCCACCTTGCTTAGACTAAGACGTGTGCCACCACATTTGGCTAATTTTTGTATTTTCTGCGGAGATGGGGTTTCACCATGTTGCGCGGGCTGGTGTCAAAATCCTGGGCTCAAGTGATCTGCCTGTCTTGGCCTCCCAAACTGCTCATATTACTGGCATGAGCCTGGTAATATTTGGATGCCAAGCCTCTAAAAAATTGTTTTTAAGGGATCTAGATGACATTACAGCATGTGGGCCTGGTGCAGTGGCTCACACCGGTAATCCCAGCATTTGGGAGGCTGAGGTG